ATGTATGAAGGCAGCAGACCAGGAAGTGATTTAAAGATGAACATGTACCAGTGAGAGAGTCTGTGTGAAGTTAATGGTGACCAGTTAACCAGTGGATACTGGGTGCAGTGGTGGGTACGATAATCACAGCCAGTTATGAATCTTAGTGCTCCATGATAGACAGCATCCAACACCTGCAGCATCCAACATCTGCAGCATCCAACATCTGCAGGGTTCTTGTAGGAGCGTTCATGTAAATAATGTCACCGTGATCAATGGAGGGAAGGAAAGTCACAGATACAAGACAATGAACATGAGGCAACACATGAATAACTCAGTCTGTCTTCATGTTGTCGTAGATGAAAGTTATTCACAACACATATGCTAAGTGTGAAATTTTACACTATTGCATAAAATTGAACATAACGTTGTGACCTGTCCAGGGTGTTCCCCGCCTCTCGCTCAGTGACGCTGGATATGGGCACCAGTGACCCCTCTGACCCGAAAAGGAAGAAACCGGTAAAGATGATGGATGGATGGATGGATGGATGGATGGATGGATGGATGAACACAAGGTTATCAAAAAGTGCACAACTAACGTCATTCCTCAGCAGAAGCTTAGCTTCGTCTCAAACTCTGGTATAATAAAACACAGCAGGTGATTTGATTTTCTAAAGTAATGCAAGGTCTCCACTTCTATAATCTGTGATTTGTTTTACGTCAAATGGTATTTTACTATAAAAACTTACAAATAAATGAGTGTGAAAGAAACAAGTGACGAAGGCCCCGTGTACAGACAGAGGCCATGGTGGCTCCACGGAACGACCCGGGTGGTCAGAGCTCACGTGCCTTATGCTGCACACGAGTCCTGGATTACTGAGCATGCATCAGGACGTCCCGGCAGCGCAGCTCGGTCTGCGACCGGCTTCTTGTGTGAAGGGAGACTGTTGCTTTGCTGCATCACCGATTTAATGTGAGGATCAAACCAAAGAGAAAACAGCAGATTAGATTCACACCCTGGTATTAATAAAACCACTAAAAGTTTACAAAAATAGTTTTGTTAAACAAAAGCAGCAATAATAACCTGATAGCAAATGTACTTTGTAAAATATTGATATTATTGGAGATTGAAGGTTGTAACGACTTTTACCATTTATTTCACAGGAATCTATGAGGATTAGTGGTTATCAAGTTCATTGTTTGAACCAACAAATTGAAATGTTCAATATTCAGTTTTGTCTTCCATCTCAGCTCAAACTGCACGAGAACGTTGCTCAGTAGCTGTGAAACATCTGCTACAGCCTTTTTACTGTTCGCTCAGACGGATTTATTTACCAGTCCCGTTGAATCGCGTTGGCTCATTAAGTTAATCAGTTGTACTCAACCCCATGATTACTTTCAACAAAGTTTTTAAAAATACTTCAGTAAGGCGTGAGATATTTTGCTAACAGTACAAACAGATGCCGGTGCACAGACCTAACCTTTTCTTTCTTTCCTTCACGATTGCTCCAAAATTCAGCAAATGTCACATTGACGTAACAAAGACATACATTAAAACAGAAAAGTTCCCCAAGTTGGTGAAGCCACTCGGAAAAACTCAACTTTTAATCGATAAAGTAGAAAGTTCAGATTTGCCAGTTTTATGGGAGGTCCTTTAATCTTTAGGAGCCACTGACTCATTTGAAACCCTGGCAGCGGCCCGAGCTGCGTGGACGGCAGCCAAGCTGCCTGCAGAGCCCTGACTCTGTCTACCGGCTTCCAGTGACCGATGCATTCACATGCAAAATCTTTAAAAGCTTCTGTGGACACGCCGGCCACCGTGCTTCTTTTTGAACAAGTGATGAATTCTGCGCTCGTTGTTCGGAAGCTGCTGCGTCATCACTTTGAAGCCTGTTCACATAAAAAACGTGGGCATCATGGCAGATTACAGGTTTTTATATATATTCTCCACATGTAGTGGGAAATAATATCGGAAAGGTTTATTTTTAACTTCATTTAAGTGAATCCATATTGAGTACATGTCATAATAAAGAAGTGTTTTATTGGACAAGTTCTGCTGACCTTTGATTCTGGACTGTAAAGTGTAAAATATCCTTAGTGACTGATA